GCAGCAGAGGCAGAAGTCGTAGTAGTGGTAGCAGCAGCAGCAACTACTACTACTACTACTACTACTACTGCTACTGCTACTGCTACTGCTACTGCTACTACTACTACTACTACTTCTTCTTCTCCTGCTGCTAGTACTACTGCTGCGTGCATGGCTTGCAACTGACTTCCCTGCTGTTTTGCTGCTGTTGTCGTTTCCACTGCGATAGTAATCACGACGATGACGTCGACGATGACCTCCAACATGACGACTACATAAAACGATTACCCTTCGAAACAACAATAATAACATCATAATGAACAACTTCATATTGTGCTGTGAGCGCATTCGCGCTTGGAAAGTCCAGACGTTGCAGGAGGTGATCACCGACTTGCGCAAGGGTCGGCATCCCCAGCTGAAACGTGTAAGCGTGGCTTAACATCTCGGGTTGCTACGCTGTTTATGGATTTTTGGTGTACTGTGGGGGGGTAGCAAACGAAGCATCAGTTTAATACTCTCCACTTGCCACTTGCCATCTTTTGGAGCTTTTTGCAGAAGCACCCACCCCATCTGGCACAGTGATCTTACTCCCTGAGCCCTGCCAACCTTTTCCTCCTGGAATCTCAGTCGGGAGTTAGGACTCCGGACGTTGGATCAGCAAGTCTATGCAGTCAGTGTATCCTGGCAGCGTGATCAACGCAACATGCATGGCCGGTATACAGTCAAGCGAACCTCATAATCTGGCGCCATCATGGGGTTGGGGGATGTTGAAGCAAGCTAGCTACTTGGTTTTATACGCAACCCAAAGCTGAGAGCATGATCAGCAACAGGAACCAGTAGCATCGAAGAGACTCCACTCTCGAAGCCCTCCTCGAAACATGATCGACTGAAATAACCTACATTCATGGATGGTCCTCACTAAAGGTACATACCTATACGGTATAGTATAATATATACAGCTCTATCTATATATGTATATATACATGTGTAAATTAAAGTTGTGATACAAGTTTATATGTATGTGCATGTGCCTGTGTACGTATTCATATGCGTACAAGCGCAGACACACACACACACACAAGCATGAGCACTCCTTTGTAGATACAGAAGTGATTACTCATACATGCTTACATACATGCATGCATACATGCATTTATACATACATACATACATGCCGCTCGCATATGGTTATTTGGAATTCGGGCTGATGGTTGGGATATAGTCCATTCTAACAAAGCAGGTTCTTTTCCCTCCGTGGCTCGGTGCCAACCCTGATTCCTCAGTGGAAGCAGCAGCTCGTGCATGACCTGTTCCGCCACAACATAAACAACCTTTCTTGAGAACGCAGGATGAGACTAACTGACTCGCAGCTTTGACGTTTCATTTCCCCTGCTCTCAGGACCTAAAGAAGGCACTTCTGTTGGTCTTGATCGGTGCGCCTACCAAGCAGCTGAAGGACCTGAGAAGAGTGCTTCGGGCCCCGAGAGATAGGGAGCAGGCCCAAAGATGGGTTTAGCGTCTTGATATCGAGAGAACATCAACTCTAAAGTGCCAACCGTGGTTTGGTGTCATTGTCCTCGTGAGCATGTCTGGAGCTTCAACTTGATGTAGGGTCGTGAATCAACACTCACAGACAGGGGGTCCTCGTGATTGCCATCATTGACTCATCATCGCGCAAAACCCAAACCTACAGCGGCAGGGGCGCACCCACAGGTGTGACCCTGTCTCCCTTCATTCGGGAACGGTGGGTTTGGCCAGTGCCAGCAAGCGGAGTGAGCCAGTCGAGAAGGACTAGAACACCTCAAAAGCAGAAGCAAACCGCTTGAAAGAGACTAAAGGGTTGGACAGGCAGTTAGAGCAACGAACCTCTTGAGAAACCGGAGCAATCGGTTTGAAGCAGACTGGGGCATCTCACGAAAGGAGAATTTGAGAAGGAAATACAAACCAGGCTCTCTTTCGATCATTTTGCTCCTTTTGAACACTTCGTCCAGCGATTTTCGACTGGGTTGCGCGTCTTTCTCAAACTCTGCTTTCGCCTTGTTCGCTTCCGAGCGGCTTGTTTCTGTTCTGCGATTTTCCTGTACCTGTCGACGGGTGTTCTCCTGTTTCTCAAGTCTCCATATCTGTCCACTTCTCTAATCTCTTTCGAGCGACGTGCTCTTGTTTGCCTAACCTCCGAATCACTTCTTGACTGGTTTGTGCTCCTCTTTCCCAAAATCTCCTTGTTGTCAAATTCTGGGCTCTCTTTCAAGCGGTTTGTTCCTGCTTCTCCAATGCTTTAGTCCTTTGCGACGGAATTCGCCACTGTTTCTCCAGCTCACCTCTTTTTGGAACTATAGTTTCTCTCAAGGGACCTGCTCCTGCTTCTCAAAGTATCTACTGTGTTTTCCACTGGTTCACTCCTTTCTCAGATGCTCCTCTTTGTCAGGTTTTGTACTCTCTGTCGGGTCCCTTTGCTCTTCTTTTTCGATTAAGCTCCTTCGAGCGGTTTGCTGCTGGGTCTCGAATTTCTAGTTCCCTTTCGTCTAGTTGGCCCCTCTTTAGCAAATCCTCCACGTGTTCACTCTGTTGGTCCTTTTTCAAGCCGTTTGCTTTAGTGCTCCAAATCCCAGTCTCTTCCGAGTGGTGTGCTCTCGTTTTCTTTCAGTTTCTCACAGATCCTTGTCTCCCTTCATTTGGCATTTGGGACCGGCGGGAACGGCCTATGCAGGGATTTTCCACGTTTGCCTCCCCTTCTCTCCTGTCGTCGGACTTCACCTACGACGCTGCGAGTGGCCAATGCCGACGCCTGCCTCCCCGTGTCCCTTCATTTGCGACCGTTGGGGGTAGGGTTGTTGCTAGTATGGAAAGAAGATGCCAACGTGACGCATTGTGGGTGGCTCTGGCCAATGGCCCGTGGTTTCGACGTTTGTCCCCCTTGTCTCCCTTCATATGGAACCAATGCCCCTTCACTTGGCGCCGAAAGGGATGGTCATTGCCGAGATAATCGACATTTGCCTCCCTTGATTTTCTGTGGTTTTGTGTTACTGTTAATCTTTCCCAAAGACTGCTTTCCGATCGGTTCTTGTTGACGTGAAAGATTAGTCTCCACGTTCTTTTTGCTGGCAGGGCTTGATATATGTCAATGTGTGGTAATATGTGCCATTGTCTGTAGGCATGGATGCAAGGAGGGATGGATACATGTATTGTGCTTGCAAGCGGGGAGGATGGTCTCAAAATCCGTGGGGACATCCACACCCTGATGATGGGCGATCCTGGAGTGGCCAAGAGCCAGCTGCTGAAGCAGGCACTTTGGGCTTCAGTTTTTGGAGTGCAGAATGTCAGGGTATTTAAAAGTTTAGGATTGGCGGTTTAGGTTTAAGGCTCCTTTAGCCTTCCCGGATGTCCCAAGACAGCCTGCAAAATCCGGGAAATGCCTCTCTGCGCCTGAAAGTTGTAAACTCAGCCCTCAGACTTGGAAGCTGACACGGTTCGGGCTTTCGGAGACGGTGACTCAACCCCATGCCTTAAGTTTGTTTCTTCAAGCGGACTCTTGTGCACTGCAGCCCCTTTTCACAGAAGCACGGCGTCATGTCGTTCTCCGATCTCACCGTCGTACCACTCCTCACACGGTTTTTCCAAGTCTGTGTGTGTGTGTGTGTCTGTGTGTCGTCTATGTGTCTGTATCTGTGTGTGAGTGTGTGTTTGAGTTTGAGCATGGCCCGTAGACCGTAGTCCATTCACTTCATTCTACAGGTTTTTCAATGCGGTCTTTGTGGGGGCAGGGTGCCGTCGGGTTCATCGGGATTTGGGTTGGATTTCTTGGGTCAGGGCGCTTGAGGCCTTTGGAGAGTTGGGAGAGTCTAGAGAGACTGCGAGATTGCAGGTAACTTACATTGCCCCGCGCTCCGTGTACACCTCGGGGAAGGGCTCGAGCTCTGCCGGTCTTACCGCCAGCGTGAACCGCGACAACTCCACCGGTGACGTCACACTCGAAGGTGGTGCATTGGTGATGGCTGACTGCGGGGTGTGCTGCATCTTGGCTTTGAGTGAGTCTGGCTGTTGTTCTTCAGGTTGCGATGTACAGGAGAAGAGAAGCGAGAGCCGGCAAGGTTGTGGAGTCAAATCTCCGAAGCACTGACCAAGGCATCGATGAGTTCGACAAGATGGACGAAACTTGGGTTAGAATGGTTTGTGTTCGTCGTGACAACCGCCACGACAGGCAATTTCCAGTATTTGCAGGTTTAACGAACAAGATAAGACATCCAAGGAGAAGGACAGAACAGCGATTCATGAGGTCATGGAGCAGCAGACCATTAGCATCGCAAAGGCAGGCGTTACGACCACCCTCAACTGTCGAACGACAGTCTTGGCAGCGGCCAACCCCGTCTACGGCCGGTACAACCCGTACAAGTCTCCCGTGGAGAACATCGACCTCCCCGCAGCCCTCCTCTCACGATTTGACCTCGCTTCTCAGCTGCTGTCAGTAGGTTCTGCGGTTTGCTTCAGGCTTCCTAGTCACAGACGTGTAGAAGGATGGATGCATCCGTCCTCATCCCAAGGTAGCCCTAAACCTTGTTCAGGGACACGTAGCCGTCAAGTCGGCCAGCTCAACTCTTGCGGAGGTCTTCCTGTTGCTGGATACGGTGGATGGCGACAGGGACAAGCAGCTTTCCAGGCACGTCGCGGACGTCCGCAGCAAGTACCAAAAGCAGGAGCCTCTGCGGCTTTAATGCCAAGCCGGTTTTGGATGAACTGTTCTGGATCAAGCACTGCGTGATTCACGCGTAAGCCTGAAGCATCCGTCGCAGCTTCCAAGACCATCGCAGCCAGAACTCCGAAATCTACACCGAATCTACACCCTTAGTTCTACCTTCGCCTTTGGCAGGCTCTTATTCGTGACATGGGCCTGGTTTGTGGACATAGATGTTAACAGTGAGGACATGCATACCATAGTCGGATGGTGATGCCAGTATCACTAGTATACGTAGTATTTCTATGATTGCAGCAGGAGAAGCTGCCATTTTCGTACGTACTTGCAAGTAAATGCCGCTAGTATTGTTTATGCAACAATCGGCAGAACAGGCAATGCTTAGAGTGGTCTTGATAAGGAGCCCTCACTGTACCCAATGGAAGATAACGAGCCCACAAAGCCACAGCAAACAATGCATACAGTAACAACCACCCTTGCGCTGAGCATGTTTGCAAAGCGAGGAAGCCGACGACAATCCCAATGCTGATGCCGACGATGTTCTCAATCTCGGCTTCAAGCCTTTCGATTCTTGGATGACATTTTTTGTGCTAGTGGTGGCTAGTGACTGTTGCAGCTGCATCTTGTCCGAAAAATTGTTGGTATTCCTGTGGACATGATGTGAATGTTGATGGTAAGCATCGTCAGGACGTCGGTTATTAATACTACGACGACGACTGCCACCCTACCGCTGCTACGATTATTACTAGTGGAATTACTACATCGAAGACGGCTACTACTACTCCTACGCCCACCACTCCTATCACGATTTACTACTCCTACTCCTACTCCTACTCCTCCTACTCCTACTCCTACTCCTACTCCTACTCCTACTCCTACTCCTACTACTACTACTACTACTACTACTACTACTACTAGTACCACCACCATCACCACCACCACAAAACGAGTACTACTACTAGTACTATTACTACTACTACTACTACTACTACTACTACTACTACTAACTACTACTACTACTACTACTACTACTACTACTACTACTACTACTATGGTATTGTGTGGCATAATGTGTCGC